GAATCCATTCGGTGTAGAGTACTTTAAGCTTAAAATAGCACCTTACAGGAAGGAATTATTCTGAAAAGCAAGAATGTTTATTTCCTTTCTGGCAAAACAAAGCGCACACTACACTTAGAGGTCGCACACCTCCTGTTTGCACTTGGAAACCACTCACCGCTCCCGCCTGACTTCCTCAGACTGTCAGCAAATAAACGCTTTTATGTTTTTCCAAAGCAGTATTTAAAAACCTACCCACAATGACATCACTCTAATCCATATCTGTTACTTTTTTGAACAGAATATACAATTGTCAATGAACACAGAAGCGTGGAATCAGCATTTTCCCGGCCACGGACCATCCACGTGTACCTCCATGTTCCAGGACTGAATAATATTAGGGTTTATGAAAAAAAGTAAAAAGAAAAATCCCTATCTGGTCTGAGAGTGGGAAGTGACTCATATCTGGACAGGAAAATGTGAAAAGCAGATGCATGTTACTCAGCTGTTTTCAAATGAAATAGGCATTTCAAACTCCAGCCCCGAAATGCTGTGGAGCTCGCTGCAGAACGGCCCGCCCGGCCGTGGCCGCCCCTCGCCAGAGCAGCCTCCCAGGGGCTCTGCAGACCGAGGCGAGGGGCCCCACGCGGTGCAGGAGGGACTGCGGGCGACGCGGGGGCGGCAGCGGGCTCAGTCGGGCGGGAGGGTGTCAGCGCGCTCTCGACCTTGGCGCCACTGAAGACCATCATTACGGCAAACGGGACAAATGCTTATAACATTGACTAGAAAATTACAAATTGTATGTAAAACATGATTATAGTTTTAAGATGTAAGCAAGCGAAAAACACTAAAAATAAATGACCAAAAATGACAGAGATGATTTTGTATGACGGTGGGATTATGGGTCATTTCCCCCCAAAATTTCTGTAACATGGTTTCATGATTTCAAAGTGAATACCTACCTGCAGGCAAACATTTATTCGCAATCCAGTCACAGCCTATGCCTACAGAGTGGCCCCGATTCCTCGCCGCCCCCGCAGCAGGCCCTGCACACGTGTCCTCTGGCTGCCATGCGGGAAGCCCCGCTGCCTTCTAAAGACAGCAAGCAAACACCGACACTAATTTGAGGGGCAAAATATCCCCCCACCACATGACAAGGGAAAACGCCCAAACGGGACGACGAAGACGTGTGCCCACCAGGAAGACACCAGGAGGAGAGCGGCACCTCCACCCGGCCGGAAGAGCCCCCAGGACAGCTGAGGGGAGGAACCCGGCAGGACCGAGGGACACGGGGCTGGGCACGTTTCTTCTCCTCGAGGTGCACAACAGGAGTTTTTCTCAAATCTTACCAGCTAGACCACCCAGCCTACATAACTGCGTCAAACTACCATGTTTTGGTAATTGAATCAATACCCAATGTTAAAAACCAATACACTAAAGTAACTGAAAAAAGAAGGACGGAAAGAGCTGGGGTAAGAGTGGCGACGTGAGAAATCAGGCCCTGCCTGCGGTCAGTGCCACGCGTCACCGCAGTAGCCGATCGAAGACCGATCAGAGACGCGGTTTCTGGCCTCCACCTTCTCCGTCTCAACACCTCCGAAGCCACAACGCCCACGGCGTCTCACACCTGCCGCTGGCCGGGTCCTGCCCTTTGGGTAAGAGGAAAGAGCCGAGGACACATCTGCAGAGCAGAAGCCCCGAAGCAACGGCAACGTGCGCTCAAGGATGCTGTGCGCCTGCGCCCGACCGCACGGAGGACCCGCTGCGTGGGAAACGCTGACGCCCGACTCTACTATGCTGCAGGAGCATCCTTTTTTTTCTTTTTTCCTTTGAGGCAGGATGTCACTCTGTCGCCCAGGCTGGAGTGCAGTGGTGCCACCATAGCTCACAGCAACCTCAAACTCCTGGGCTCCAGTGATCCTCCTGCCTCAGCCTCCAGAGCGGGACTACAGGCACATGCCACCACACCTAGCTAATTTTTTTATTTTCTGTAGAGCGGGATCTCACTGTGTTGCTCAGGTTGGGCTCACAAACTCCTGGGCTCAAGGGATCCTCCCACCCTGGCCTCCCAAAGTGCTGGGGTTACAGGCCTGAGCCACTGCACCTGGCCTATTTTGGTATGTTCCTTTATATCCATGTACAAGAATATGATTTTAAAACTCTATATAAATCTTTCGATAAAATTACAAGCAATAAAAAGCAGTGTGTTAGTTTAATTGGCAATGTTTTTCTTATTTAAAGTACACAAAAAGTCCTACAACCAGTGGCATCTCACATTTAATGACGTGGGGTAGTTTAGGCACAGGGAAAGAAGACCAAATGCTGTCTCCCCAGACCCGAGTTTGAATACTCACTCCATCAATAACCTGCTCTGTAATCTCAAACGAGTGCCAGTTTGTATCTGCTTTCTCGTTTGTTTACTGGCAACGATAACTCAAGTAAGAACAGCAAACAGCTCTGGTAAGCACGAAGCTCTAAAGGCCCTAAGAGATAAAGGTTTGTAAACTCTGCTTAGTTCTACTGGATTCAGGTTTGAAAAAGCAACACAAAGCTTCTCTCCAGCGTGAGCTCACT